AAAAAAAAAAAAAAAAAAAAAAAAAAAAGGCAATCAGGGAGAAAAAGCGGCAGCAGGTGTAATTTTTCACCCAAATTATAAATTGCCTTTTCTCTTTTCTATTTTTCTTTTTTCTTTAAAGGTTAAAGCAAAAATTGAGTATAGATGAGAAATGCTAATGGATCATTATGCCTTTGAAACCAGCTATATTTGGTGCTTGGTCTATCAACGTTTTTTGTAAGTTTTCTTTTAATCGCTTTTCTCAACAACAAGTGATTTTAAATCTGGAAACTTTAATCCTTGCAAGTAAGCTCTACCCAAGCTAAACAATCAAAAGTAAATACTTCATTAGCTATGCTTTTTTGGTTATTACTCACTTGTTTTGTTTGATGTTTGTCAGTCAAAAAACCTCTTTAAACTAACCTACATGTAGCTGGCCTTGAGCTTTTCTGACGATCTTTGAAGGACATTCCAAGTTTGCTATGAATACCATTGATACTTATTAACCCCTTCTAAATAATACAGATGTTCCATAGAATTATTGATTCATTTAGTTTTGCAAGTAAGTACAACTTTGTTTATTATTTGAACCTTAGCTCTTCGGGCTCTTACTTAGCGTATATATGAGCGTACTATCCGAATACCTTAAGGCAGTGGATGCCAATGTTATAGTAAGTTAACTGTAGCTACTATGTTCTTTACTATCGAATTCTATTAAGCAGCTGTTAAGCAGGACAGTCGTACATTTCAAGAAAAACTGCTACTGGGAAGCAAAGCTCAACATATGTCCGTTTAGTAAAGCAGTAAGCTCAGCCCAAATATGATGGCTGTCAAAGCAGGTACTAGTAAGTTTGACTCAACAGTTGTCAAATACATATATTATATTGCACTTGGCAGTAGAAGTAACGAAAGTGCCAATAAAAGTGAAAATTTATATGATACAAAATAAAAGTTATCAGAGTGTTCTAAAGGTAGTTTTAAGGTGGCTTCAAAGTGTTTTAAAGTAACCTGTAAGAAGTGTTTAACAGTGTTTTTACAGTGTTTTTACAGTGTTTTTCATGTCACTTAGTTCATGGTTAAAAGTACTTTTTAATCACCAAAAAACACCGATTATTTTTCATATTTAAATATGAACCCATTTAATTTATTCAAATAAAAATGTGACTTACACTTTTGTTCTCATTTTGACAAATGAATCATGGTGTATTTAGAGAGAGAGGGGGTATATTTACAAAGGAAGGGGAGGATGATCAATGGTTATAATGACTTGTAATTGATTTTCGCTTGCGTGACGATTTGGGATCCGTGACGTTGTGGAGCATGTTATCTGTGAGTGTAGATGGATCATTTGCATAGTTGTGATTGCCGCTATTTAAGGTATATTGAAAGCAGGAAATAATTTTGACAACCTTGTCCAGTTGTGAAAGAAAAAGGGGCACATGATCAAGGGTAAGAGGTAGTTGGATGTGTGCGATTTCACACATTGTATACAAATAAGCTTGGGCGCGAGTAAACATGTAGAAAGTGGCATATTTGCCTAAGAAAAAAAAAAAGGTGAGGATGCGAACAGCAGATGAAACTCAATCGGAGCTTACCGACAACAGTGAAGGCAAAGATTTCTTTCAACTTGTGTTTATCGGATGCGGCCTTGGCCAACACTGTAATGCGCATCAAATCTATGCCAACCAACCGATGATTGAGAGCTTGGTATTGCGCTTTTACCTCACCGCAGCCAATTCGCTTACTCAATACTGCTCCATTTATGATATTTATTGAGGCATCTGGTCGTGTAGTGGCTTGCTTTTCTTCATCGCTGACGGAAGTCCTATTCGATTTACGTTATGGACGTCAAATCTTATTCTTCTCTGAAATACCCATTTTTTCCTGCCAAAATTCTTTACTTACCATCTAAAAATTATGTTGTTATCCAAGTCCTCGAAAAGAGGAGCCAGGATTGCTTCCAAATACCTTGTAATTAATTCAGTTTCTTTGGGCCCGTCTTCAACGGTATGACGGGGTAGTTTTTCCACCCTATCAATGGTATGAGTTTTTACTTGTTAAATCTTCGCATCTTAAGATACTTACATGTTACGAACGATCAACAGAATCCTGTTTGTAGAATTGAGGCCATCATCCTGTATCATTGCAGAAATTCGGCACGATGCTACCAAACGCGTACATATGTTATTTTGGTCGCCATCCTAACAAAAAGCCATTCAGCAACAAGTAGCTGCTAACTTCTTTTTTAAAAAAAAATACCAAATCCATTTGTCCCATAATTTCTTCGAGTCGGTTCCTGGTTGAAGCCGGGAATGGCTGATACGCAGTCTGCTGCTTAGAAAGAATATGTCGGCGAAGTCCTTCACAAGTGTTAAGATCGATATACCTGTGCAAATCTTCATGAGTGCGCGCAGGCTTTAGCAAGAGAACTGACGATAAGGCTAATATATGTTGCATATGTTCTTCAATAGTGAAGGCAGCATCTTCTCGCAGTCGGCTTTGCACATCCAACTGAAACTTATAAAACTGAGCAGACACATCGATACTGTTAAAGAGCAGACGATCTTCTATTGGTGATGGAGAAAAACTCAACTCATCTAAAATTGAAGAAAATAACGTGGAGGAAGTGGGTGATGAGGCCAAGAGGGTCGATATGGTTGATACGTTTGATGCTGTTGATTCAATAAGTGGTGACTCCTCGCTGGTATTCACAGAGCTTGTTGTTTCAGCTGTTGTCGCAGCGTTGGTCAAGGCATCTGGCTCGACATTTAAAGACAAGCTTTCTCTGGGGTCGGATTGGGGTGCAGAGTCGTAAACAAACAAGCATGGCAGCTGTTTCTTTGCCAAATGTGCCCTAAAAGTTTTTGCATTTTTCAAATATTTTCGGCAACATGGGCACGGAAATCCGGAAGAAGTACGAGACACATTTGTTTCCCCTTTGCAATTTTGTTATAATACAAATGAATAAGTATAGCACTTACCAATTATCACCGTAGAAATATGTTCTTCTATCGTGTGATTATCGCGTTTACTTTTCGTTACAAATAGATTGTCGCAATGTTTACACTGGATCGACATTGTTGGAACAAAGGGAATATGTAAAAAATGGGCTGAGAAAGAATCTTTTTT